TACTTGTACAAGGAAGTTTTAATAATTTAATAAATACCATCTATCTAAATATAAATTAACTAAATTAAATTTTATTTTAGGTGCATATCATTGAGAATCAGAAAACAACGATAAAGAAAGCAAAAATACAATAATGGGAACGTCACACACTAAAGAGAAGCTTCCACACTATCATCTCGAACCACTTGTAGGCTCACCCAAGAAAGTTTTATGTTGAATTAAAATTTAAACCATATATTATACATATTCGGACAATATTACATTGCAAATAAAGATATGGGTATATACAAAACACCTCGAATTTATTTGATAACGTTATTATTTTTTGTTTATCGTTCTTAAGATTATGCAGAAATTTTAAAAATAACAAAATAAAGTTTATTATTTATTGTTCTTGTTTCCAAGTTTTTCTAAATGATAAATAAAAATATTATTTGTATTATTATTATTTATAAAAATACATAATAATATTAAATAATAGATATAATAGTTTTGTTGCTACTCACATGTTGTACTAAAAAATATTTGTTTGAATATTTAATTTGAAATCAATTAAGAAAAAAAAAATAGTTACCCATCTCAATTCTAAAAAATATGAAACAAAAATGAGATATAGAAAATGAAAAATAAGAAACGAGAATGTTACCTAAGGGATCCTTAATTACCTAATTACTTAAAAGGTTAAAAAATAGTTTTTGGTCAGTGTGTACATTCATTGAAGAAGTAATAATTTAGTGTCTACACTTTCAAATTGATAATAATTTAATCCCTAAACTTTAGCATGTAATAGTTTAGTTTGTAACAATTTAGTTCTTATCATACAAATTTTTGTTAAGTTTATTGTATATGTACATCGATAAACCGACAAAAGACTAAGTGTGTTTATAAACTATAAATACTAAATCGTTATATGATAAGTTTTTTGTGATAAGACTAAATTATTACAAATTTTAAACTATAAAGACTAAATTGTTATCAATTTAAAAGTAGGAGACTAAATTGTTACAAACTAATATTCAAACTTTGTTATTTTCAATTTTTACTTCAACTATTTAAATTAGTTATGTGAAAGAATTGGAAGTTTTTTAATAAAAGAACAAAGATTTCTTTTCAAATTAAAAAAAGCAAGCTAAAAAAATGGGGAAAAATTGCATAGATTTATGATTTGGACCGTCGAAATTGCGAATGGTAGGTTTTGACCAAAATTGTTTATTGTATGATCCATTATCAAGGGATACCATTTCAAATCTAAAAGCTAATGCCTATTTTTATCAATAAAGTATAAAGTTGCTTTCATTATTCCTTGCTTTTTATTTGGTCTTTGTTTTTCCTATTTCTGTTTTTTTTAACACAAAAAGGAATGAAGTTGCCCTAAGGACATACTTATCATTTTAGATAAGTCGACGATTTGGATCCACCTCAATCGTTTGAATAACAAATTTGTCAAATAAATTAAATTCYGATAGGTAGGTCATGTATTGTGTCTAATAGGACCAACCACTATATTATAGTTTATAGCAACTTGATGTTCCAATGAAATGAAGGGTGGGTTAGGGGGAGAAATGACACATTTCAATTAGAAAAAATAATAAAGTGGACAAACTTTTTTCTTTCATTTTTTTTTGAAAAATTAAACATAAATCGGAACACAAAAACTTTAATTGGTTAAAGTTGGTGATTATATTAATTTTGGTTGAAATTATGAGATGTTTAGATATCTGAATGAATTAATGAGCATGTAGTTGTAAAAATTAAATATATCTATGTTTCAAAGTTTAAAGAAACATAGTTTAAACATCGTAGTCAACTTGAACATAACTCAACTAGTCAAAAAAAAATTAATAATTTCTCTAGAGATTTAACTTTTTAAGTCTCTTCTCCACCATTATTGTAATAAAAATAAATAAAATAAAAAATGATTGCATTCATTTATTATTCCTATTATAATATTTTTGATCTTAAAAAATTACCCCACATTAACATCAATATATATTATATTTCTCTCCCATCACCTGGTCTTTTTTTCCTAAAATTATAGTACCGGTCGCGAATTTATTATCAAACAATAGTATTAAATTAATTGCTTCTATAAATACTATATATGTATTGGTTGAATATTTGAACCTATTACTTCTTCATCTACCAAATTTTCTATCTATCGTTTCATGGTGCATTCAACTTACGAGTTAACTTCACGTAACTTATAATTTAAAAGTCGGATTTATATTTAATATATGAGTTGATTTATCTTAAACTATAAGTTAATTAATTCAATGGCCTATATTATTATTATATAATAAATATTATAAATAATTGATCATGGATTATAGATATCAAAATTTAGTCCATCTAAATATAACTCAATTGGTTAAGTATATATCACTCAAGCAGCGGGAGGGTGGAATCAAATTTGCAAATTAAAATTTTATAACCATAGGGTTATTTAAAATGTGAAAGAGTAACCACATAAATTAATATTATTTATAGCTCAATAAAAAAAATGATTATATGTATTTAAAAGATAAATTAAATTGACCAAGAACAAAAACAGCTATTAAAAAATTGGTGTGGCTACGAAAAGTGACTCCACGAGTTCCGAGAAGGTGCTGTTAGAATGGTCAAAAGTGCACAACCGGCGATAAGGTTGAAACTTGAAACTGCAACCTCACTCCACCATGACCTTATCATGCTCACTGTCAAAGTTTTTTATTTCCTTTTATTTTTTTTTAAATTTTATTTTATTTTGGCCCATTAACATCCTTTAATACAAAATTATAGTTACCTTTCCAGAAATTTAATTGTTAAAATTATGGTCTAAAAAATAAGATAAAAATGAAAATGAAAGGACTTGAATGATTCTTTCTTTTAGAAGTACAGAGATAAAAATGAACGTTTCGAAAGTAAGTAGGTTAAAATCTACGTTTTGAAAATAGAGCCAAAAACAAACCATACTCGAAACAGTTTAAAGTATCAAGTTATGAAGATAATATTTCAATTACGATACTGATTATTTTCTTTTATATTGATTGCATAATCAAGAAATATCTCTTAAGTTATTTTTCATTAAGCTAATACTGTCCGCCATCCATGTAAACTCACAAAACTGAGATCCCACATATGAAGAATTGCGCCGTAGAATGCAAATGGAGACCCTCTCTGCAAAAACAGAGTTGGGCCTCAATGAGGGAGAGAGCCCTTAAGGAATGGGCCTGGCCCGTGATCTAAAATTGCTGGATGGATTGGGCTTATGAACAATACACAGATCCTAAACCCGGCCCAACGTGGCCCATTTTAATCAAACGACGAGTAGTTCTGGACAGAACGACAATTAGCTCCGATTTAGTACTGAAGTCTGAAGGTGACCGTCCCATTTCCGGAAGAAGTAGCTGCGCCTGCAATAGAGTGATGAAGAATGAAGATAAAGATGCCTTGAATTTTGTTTCTCAAGTTGATTCCCAGCCGCTTTAGAAGGGAATTTCTTTATAGTTTTTTCTGTTAATCTCGATTCCAGAAGTTGATATCTGAATTTGCAGATTCGTTCTTGAATCAGCTTGGTCGCTCTCATGGCGATCGCTTCCATTTCTATGCTCCGCCACCACACCGCCGCCGCCACTGCGTCAATCCCCGCCTTCGGCAATGTACTCCGGCGATTCTTTAACGTCCGATGCTTTTCAGTTGTTGCCAAACAGCATAACCCTAACAATGTCTCCAATAAGCCTCCGCCCAGCAAGAATCTCCTCCGAGCAAAGCACACGTTCAAGGATTATTCATCCCTTGCACCGGCTCTCTCTCCTCAAGACAATCCTCCTCTCTCCGAATCCCAAGCCATCGGCACTGTCGCTGCTGCCCAAGCCAATTTCATGCGCGTAATTGTTCAGTCGCTTCCCTCTCAACTTTCTGACAGTTCGAACCAGGATTCGGAGCCTTCTGGAAGCTTAGAAGGCGATTCTTCGGAATCCTCTAGGCTTGGAGTCGAGCTGCTATGCGTGGTGAAGGCGGTGCTCAAGAAGATAAAGAGGAGAGTTCTAGTCGGAGACAAGGTGGTTGTTGGTTCCATTGATTGGGTGGACCGCCGGGGAATGATCGAGAATGTCTTCCAAAGGAGCTCGGAGATTCTTGATCCTCCGGTGGCCAATGTGGACCATTTGCTTGTGCTCTTCTCCATGGATCAGCCGAAGTTAGAGTCGTTTACACTCACGAGGTTTCTGATTGAGGCGGAATCTACCGGAATTCCACTGACGCTGGGTCTCAATAAGTTAGAACTCGTCGATGAAGAGGTTGTAGCTTCAATCTTTTACTTACAGCTTTAATCACTTAGCTTTCTGTTAACTAGTTTCAACGCCTACGCTGCATCTGAAGTCTCTTGCATCATCTTCGAATACTGATCCTCTAGAATAATAGTGATGTAGTGTAGCAGAAAGATATTCATAAATGTATTTAGTTTTGCTATTTTACTCTTACTTTGTCATGAATGCTTCTTTTTTCTCATAGTAAGATGCGTTTATCTCGTAGCATGAAATTTTGTTCTTGCGTTACTTGTCACATAGCGTATTCTTTACTCTGGGAACCTGCTTGAATCTCTAGAAGAGCAGTCATTGACCAAACTTTCTCACAATTATGCATGCATTTCCTTTCTTGATGCTGATAGTTGTTGGTAATGGCATCTGCAGACACTAGTTTCCTGGAAGTCAAGACTGCGAAGCTGGGGCTATGAACCACTTTTCTGCAGTGTCCAAACCAAGACAGGACTCGATTCCCTTGCATATATTTTGAGAGATCAAACTACAGTTATCGTGGGTCCAAGTGGAGTTGGGAAATCAAGTCTCATCAATGCTCTGAGAAACAATGACCGTGGCGTCGATGCTGTAGAGGGAGATAATTGGTTTGATCCTGTGTGTTTGATCATTCTTTGAATTTCTATTATGTTTGTTTTGTTGGTCATCTATTCACTCTGGGACTTTCTATGATCACTAGGCTCATAAAAGTTTCTATATTTTTCTGGTCTATTAGCAGATTCTAGGTAGCAAGTGGTTTGAGGATCAGCGTGTTGCAGAAGTCTCAACAAGAAGTGGTAGAGGGAAGCATACGACTCGTCATGTTTCTCTCCTGCCGCTGTCGGGAGGGGGCTATCTGGCAGATACTCCTGGTTTTAACCAACCCAGTTTGATGAAAATAACCAAGCAGTCTCTTGCCCAAGCCTTCCCTGAGGTTCATGCTAATTTAGGACATGATAATGATTGGAATCTTTTTTGAAAAATTTCTGTGGCATTTCTTGGGTTCAACTAAATTTTCTATGCAGATCCAGAAAATGCTTCTTGCCAACGAACCTGCTAGATGCTCTTTTAATGATTGTTTACATCTTGGAGAACCGGGCTGTGTTATTAAAGGAGATTGGGAGAGATACCAATACTATTTCCAACTTCTTGATGAAATCAGAATCAGGGAAGAATTTCAGTTGAGAACATTTGGAACCAAAAGAGAGGGGGATGTGAGGTATGTTCACCTTAGCTCTGTGATGCTATTTCCTTTCAATATTCTCCTTTATATTTTAAACAAGTTCCAATACAAAACATTGCCTTTAAATGTTTTTGTTTAGTGGTAGTGCCTTTGTTCTATTGGCAATACTGCTGAGACTTTTTCAGTAATAAGGAAATAGGAATCCTCCTTCACTCTCTAATTATATATCAATTTGGTAATCCTAATAACATTCGAGGAACTTAGACTATGCAACAATGAGATTGATAATCCCATTTGATACAATATTCTGATTGCAGTTTATATCCATTTATATTTATGTAGCACATCTGAGACTTCAGAATTTGGTGCATCACTGTCGAAGTAACGAGTAACACTAGAACTTGTTTATCATGAATAACGATATTGTTCAGTTAGCTCTGCATCCTTAATCCTTATACGAGTCCAAAATCAAAATGATGGAACTTTTCTTTTCAGAATTAAGGTTGGAGATATGGGTGCTCAGCAAGCAGAGCCAAGGTTGGAGCTGAAGAAGCACAGGAGACAATCTCGTAAGCGAGTGAACCAGTCAATACTTAACGAGTTGGATGAGTTGGAAGATGAAGACGAAGACGATTCATTGGACAAGGAGGACCCCATTTTAAAGGCAATGAGGAATGAACAGCAATAGCGAACAAAGCCATCTCCAGCATATAATCCCATTTGTATATACTTTCTTTTTACCCCTTTTTTACTCGCATGTTGAACAGTTTTCACCAGTACAGAGCCTAAGCAAATGAAATCTTTCGAGTAAACTTTCTAAGAAAATGAAAAGGGGTTCCTTGTGGATTGATCACAGATAAACCATAGCAATTTGAGTCCCTTTTTGGTTTTGTAGGCTAGATTTTTCACATGATTTGCAGCCGAATTCAACCGAAACTTCAACTTTTTGGTCAATGATATATGTCTGAATCAATTAATTAGGTTCAAGTTTGACATCCAATCTTCTCGGCAGGCCTTTTTAGGTGCTCGCTTAAGATACCACTATTACATTTATTTATAAATAAGAGAAGATTGCAGTATTTAAAGGAAAAAAAAAAAACTAAAAAGCTATAAAAAATTTTAAGATGGGTACAAACACACAAGTTCATGAGTCAGGAAATATCCATGGATGGTCTCATTTTAGCTAATTATGCAGTACATTACATCCAAATTAAAAGTTGAAGCAAACCCTAAAGGGTTCTTATTGTTAATTCTAAGAACAAAGCAATTAATTTAAACTCACTAGCTTGATGACTACTTGGTGGATTTCTTCTTTGGATTTGGATTCACAGGTTTTTGGGGCTTAGGATGCTTCTCGGCTTCGCTAGGGTCCAGCCACTTGAGAGGGTGGCGATTGAAGAAACGCCAATTCGGAACAGTAACCAATGCGGTGAAAACCACGACACCGGCGTAGACGAGGATCATCGTCCTGAATGATCCGATCGTATAGCCTGTCGCGAACGCCACCGCTGCAAATACCAGCAGCATTATCTGCATCAAGTGCTCCGCAAGCTTTTGCCCTTGCCAATCCATTGGTATGTACTGAACGGAAATGAAACAAAAACTCGTAAGTACGATCGCGATTGCGAGAAAAATTGAACCTAATGTACCTGGTGAAATCCAACCATAAGAGAAATTATTTGATCGACGCAAAAAAAAAAAAAAAAATCTGCGTCGAAGAATTTTTGCAAACAAATCTCCTCGATCCTCGATTAGGCTATAATTTTGAAGTTTTTGTCAAAGAAACATTGTCTGAATCGCAAATCAGGCTGTAATTTAGGAAATATGAGAACGCGAAGAGGGAAGAAAGAAGAGAGAGAGAGTACCTCGTCGAAGGATCTAACAGAATGCCAAGTGAGAGTAAGGAAGGGGAGGGGCGGGTCACGGTGGCCGAACCATATATGTGCGCAGAAGTTCAGAGCGAATTTTTGAAGAAAAAAATTTGTTTTTTAAATAAAACCTATTTTACTACCCCACCTTTAAATAAATTACTAATTTTTTTTATTTCAAATAAGTTACTAATTTATAGTTTGTTTAGAATAGTTTTTAAAGTGATTTTTGGATAACTAACGTTTTTTTTAATACAAGTGGGTTGAACAATTATAAAAGAACTTGAAAAATTATTCCAAAGGAATTGCACTTTTACAGTTAGATAAGTATTTATAGTTTAAGATAAGTACTCATAAAAATTTACTTAGAATTAAAATATATACGAAATTCATTTTAGATGAATTTTAGAAATTAATTTTCAACTTTCGAAAACTGAACTCGAAACAGCGAAGGTTGAACACTTGCTTCACCATGACACAAGAAAATTGTTGAAGAACTTCCGTTTATCTGAAGTCTTCCAAAGGTTGACTTAAATGAATTCATTTTTTAATTCATAAAAACGAAATAAATTGATCGAGGCAATCTCAAAACATTTTATTTCTTTTTTTCTACAAGACATTTTATTTTCGTCTAAACTTATATGACTATATCTTATTCAAATTTTGGAATTTAAAATTTTTCTTTAACTTTATAAAATAATTTTAACTTTTTTTAAGATCAGATAATTTAACATTTACTTCTAAATTTTTACATTTACAATTCGGACATTTGGCATCCAAAGTGTAAACAAATGGATTCAGATATTTACTATTCATATCAGTTCATTACATATACCAAATGAATCTTGATTAAAAGAAAAAAAAAAGAACATAAAAAGGAACATTAACAAAGCAAACCCTAAAACTTAAGTGACAGTTCTGTTCTATAATATAATTATTATATAAAAAAAAGTGACGATTTCGTACAAATTATCTAAACGCAATTTACATATAAATTTTCCAAATAATCTTTATAAAATAAAATTTGAGAATAAATTGCTTTTTCAAGAAATAATTTAATTCGAAAACAATCTAAACTAAATTACTAAGAAGTATTTTGAAAGCCAACCGCCGCTTTTACGGGAAAAAAACAGCATCGTAATGCGTACACTGAATATCACTGCAGCATTTGGCAACAGATGAAATTAAAGAGTCAATAGCAAAACAGAAGAATCTTTGCAGGGGCTTGTAGCATAATTTCATTAGTAAGATTATAAAAAAAAAAAGCTTCTAAATATAAATTTTTAATTTTTAAAAATTTGGCCGAGATATTGAAAGTGTTTATATGTGCGCTTCAATTTCAAAAATAGAAACAATTCATAGCTAGAACTCAGAATATCAGAATTTAGTTCATTCAGAAATCAGAATAGACCCAATTACAACTTAATAATGTGACAATATTAACGACCTAGTGAACGAGTTCGATTTAATTTTATTCTTGTGGAAGACCAAGAGAAAAGCAGCAAATACCAGAATGTGATTGATTGCAACTTACTTGAAGAAAATTGAACTAGAAAAGGTTCCAAATAAAACAATGTCACAGAAAACATCTAAATAACAATACTCCGTTCTATATAGTGTTCAATAATAAAACTCACTTCAAAAAAGAAATGGTCACAGCAAAACCCACAACAAAATTTATACTTCTGCCATTCAAGAGGAAGCACCACTACGGATAGCTTGACCTTTCTTGGGTTTGCCAGTCGCCAGTTGAGTCTCGGGCTGTATTATATATCATGACAAAATGAAAGATGAGAAATAAGCAATAAAGTAATCCTATACTTTACTTTACCATTGCATGTGTAATTAGGCAATCTGATTATTACTTACCTCCTTCTTGACAGGCTCTTCTTTTTCTGACAAAATCAGTTCAATATGGCAAGGGGAAGACATGTAAGCTGCAAACCACAGAAAAAAAAAAGGAAATAAATGTCAAGGTTAGGATGTTGAACTTGAAACGGCATCATAACATAAATCAACTGAATTCAGAACTTACGGTTGATTCGTCCGTGAGCACGGTAGGTCCGACGCCTTTGTTTCTGAGCTTGGTTTACCTGGACGTGAGATACATGGAGCAAATCAACGTCCAAACCCTTTACCTGAAACAACAGAAACAATTATGAGTAGAGAGGAAAGGAGAGCATAAACAGTTTTGTATGGAGAAACCAAGAAGTACATACTTCAGCATTGCTCTCAGCATTCTTAAGCAGATCAAGAATAAACTTTGCAGACTTGACGGGCCAGCGTCCTTGGCCATTTGAATGCCTATTCTTTGCCTGAGCAGTTCGTCCAACACCACCACAGAAGCGACGGAAAGGAATGGCCTGTTTGTGGGCAAGTACATCCTCTAGATACCTCTTGGCCTTGGCCAGTGGCAACTTCCTGATAGCATGGGCAGTTTCCCTAGTGTTCTATAATACAGAAAGAAATAAGAAACTATCACGAATCTAAGCAACAACATATAATGCAGAGCTATGCATGTTAAAATACAAGTTTAAATATGTAGCATCATTTACTGAACCTTCGGACATTATGTGTTACAGAGGTTCACCCAATAACAATGCACGTGTAATTTCCCTGATGTTTACGAGAGCCCTGTTCACAGAAGGCAACAGAGCCCTGCTTTTATCATCAGGTTACACAGAAGTATCAGGGAAACTCACTTATATGTCTACGTTTAATCTACTCATAACGAAGCACCATGAAATAACCATAGATAACATATTGCATTCTGTATATTATTAAAGAAAATTGTGGGCACTGCTGAAAAGATAACAGCTCAGTTCAAGTTTCAGACATCCAAGGAAGGATTAGACCAGCATTAGCTCTCAAGCCTGGCAAAGGCGAAAGCTCTTGGACGGCAACTGCGAATGTTTTGAGAAACGAGCCTTTAGAGATGTCATCATTAACAAACACCTTAATAAGATATCACTTAAATCAATAAATTACTTGCACAGAAAAGTGAACTGGGAATTAAATACTTTTACAGATTGGAAAGAAACAAAATAATATTTAAGGGACATTCAATCGGAGAAAGAAGAATCGTCAAAGCAAACAGAAGACGATATGCAGTAAACCAAGATTTGCGTCAATCTCCTGAAGAACAACATTTGATTCTAGTACAAAATCGCAACATCTATTCGCTACTGGTGCAAACCCTAGTTCTTAGAAATTCTAATCAATTCCACAACTTAAAAAACATCGAACCAAAAAAGGGGATTGAAGACTCAAAGAAGTGAAATAAAACCTACCTTAAAGTGAACTCTAAGGTCCGAGCCTCTGGCTTTGCAGGCTGAAAAAAAGAAACAGCTCGTTGTCAGTTCAACGCGAAAAGATCAACCAAATCGGGAAACTCGAGCATATGGGAAATAAACAAATCAAATGCAAAGTCTTGAATGAAATCGAACGAGATCTATAAGAGAAATCGAACGAGATCTATAAGAGAAATCGTAGAAAAAGAAAATTACACTTGGTCGGATTGTCAGGCTCCCTCGAATACTTCACCTGGAACAATGAAAGAGAAGAGGAATTAGAAGTTAATTTCTTCAAACTGCATTTTGCTGAAGAATAAATCGAGAAGACGAACCATGGCGACGGCTGAACTTCGGCGTCTAACAGAGTTTCTATTTCTTCGAGAGCAGCAGGAGAGAAACTCGGTTTATAAGCACCGAGGGCAAACTCTACAAAACCCTACGAAGGGTCAAAGTGGGCCGAACACTGACCCAATTTTTGGGTTGGGTTCACGTTGGGCTCGGCCCATTTTATATATTCATCTTCCTCCCATAAATTGTTTTTTCGAAAATTTATCACAAATTTATTCTTGATTCTTATATATTTCTTCTATATTATTTCAAACGTAATATAATTATCATTTCTCAAAAAATATAATGAGATTTGTTGCTTCAAATCTGTAACATTTTATTTATTTGTATTATTTCCGTATCCCTATACTCCCAAAAAATGACTTTTTTACCAAATAAAAGAAGAAATACTATTTTCACATACATCATGTATGTAAGGTGTATATACAAGTATATTTTTGTTTATCAATAATATAAGTTATTTACATTGCAAAATATTCCGGGTCGAAAGCTTGATTAACACACTTTGGAGTTTATGGGAAATTACCAAATGTGTTTCAAACATGTATCCCAGTGTTTGAATCTCCACCTCATATTATACTCAAACGTCTTTTAAAATCTCGATAATATATAATATTGAGATTTTCATAACTTTTGACTAAATTGTTTTTTAAAAAACAAAAACTCTTAAAAATTGGCTTTAAACGAAAGTAGGTTGTTACCTCATTTGCCTTTTACTTCGGACAATAGAGTCTTCAATAAAGTAGTTTGAATTTTGGAGGCGATTAAGAATAATTGGTCAAATTAAGAATTGCGTTAGCCTTTTCTCAAAAAAAAAAAATAAATAAATATTGCGTTAGCCACTAATTGTATTTTATTTTAACTTTAAGTTCAACAATTATGGTAAGAGGTGACTAAGCTACTGACCATAGGATGAAGATAAAAAATAAACAAAAAGAAATAACAAAAAATACATTATAAAATTAAGTTTTTTTGTTTTGTTTTATATATATTTAATTTGTCTGAATTTTGCTAATCATTTTATGTCTTAACGAGTTCAATTATGTTCTTGTTATACATGCTATATGTTATGTCAAACGTTTTTAAAATGTAGTGTAATAGAAAGTTACAATCATAAACAACGAATTTTAAATGAATAAAAAAATATACGAGTGGTGTATTTTACTATTGTAATATTTCCTTTTATTTATTCATTTTCAGATTATTTCATATTTTTCGATAAAGTTTTGCCCCTAGGCAAGGAAAGAAAAAGTTTTCTAATTGCATTTTAGTATATTGAGGAATTTATTATTTGAAAAAAAAAAAAGAACCTTGCCATATTCTTAATAATCTTACTTAAAATACTGGAACACTGAAAACAACATCTAAAAGATTTTCAAATTTATAACGGAAAATGGTTTCCCTTAATATTAAAAACAGATCACACCTATCGTATAATCAAACTAACCAAGCTCTTAAATATTAAAATCCTATATAATTATTTGAACATGAGCCTGAATGGATGGAGAGGCCGTAAGACCCAGTCTTAGGGAGAAGGGAGCATCCATCCAATAAGTAGAACTCAAACCCGAACCCGATCAACTACAACTCTTATAGAGCCATAGCAACCGAGGAGACACGACGGTGAATCAGAAGGTATAAGTAGACATAAAGCTGGAATAAGCAACCACATCTACCCAATCTGGGAAAAGACTTTTCAACTTCTTAGCTTCATTTGTCAACTGTTGATCCAATACCGCGACGTCGATTCTCAATTCTTTCGGACTGTTAGCCTGCATGTTACAGAAAGCTGAGCATGAGCCTCATAACAGAACCAACACATTCAACACCTCATTATCATGCACGATTCGAAAATATTCAAGTACTGGAAGATGGTGTTAATTATGAAATATCAATGAACTTGCTCTATAGTGAGAGCTTCTCAATTAGAACGGTAAGAGATCTTGTTCACTTGCTTTGGTAAAGAATTGGCAAAAGTTCTTCATCACTATATATTGGCTAAAATCAAAATGTGAAGAAAGAATGCAAATGTGACCACTATAAGATATGAGCTTGTACCTCTAGCCAGAAAGTCCATTTTTCATGGCTGGCTCCGCTTAGTCTACATATGTAAGAGGGCGGTCCACCATCGAGAGTCTCGGGTACTGTTCCATTTTTATAAGGACAACAATTCGTGTCAAAAAGAAAATGGACATAGACGTGAGGAGAGGTTCTGAAACTTACCAGGAAGCTTATTGTCTGCAAATGACCAGTTCGATAAAGGTCCGGTGATGTTTAGAACTGTGACCCAAACCTCCTCCAAGGAACTAGAAGAAAGATCGGCCATCAGAAAATGAAACCAAGCTTAATATCAAGAGTACTGACATACTTAATACACCTAGTTGTTTTTGTGTCAATCAGTTCAAAACCCAAAAAGTAGTTTTATAAGATTCAAAAGGCCCATGGAGTGCCTCATGGCTATAATAGATCCGAACCTTTGCCTCAAATCAACTTCCAGATTATAATTGCTCTAGTGAATAACTAAATAAAGACTCAAATTTTGTTTTTGATATTTTACATAGGAGCACAGATTCCCAACCCTACGTGATATGAGACTCCGTATGGATTTTTCCATGTTGGATTTTAAAAGCAAAGTGACTGTAAGAAATAAACAACTAAAACCCTTTTTGATTATCTGAGTTCATTCTTATAAGAAGAAAAGAAATAATAAAAATGTTGTTCGCAAATCATTAATGATGCACAAATATGTTGTCTTCTAGGATCAGTCAATATAATGCAACACAGATTAGCCATGAGAAAAATATGTTCCAAATTATAAACAGGGCTTGGCTTCTTCTAGCCTGGGAATGCAAAAGAATTGAGTTATATACCCTAGAGAAAGTTCCAAGTAAACCCTTCGAGATCCATCGCCGGAAACTGTTTGTGGCTTACTTGCAATCAAATAAGGGAAATATAAATCTTGCTTTGAAGTCGATTCTTTGGCAGGGAACTTCAAACTTCTTGAGAACAAGAAGGAAACTGGAAAAAGTGCCTATAGAAGGAAAACAGCTCCGAGATTTCAGACCACTCACATCAGAAAATTATTTTAGTATTCAAATATATTCAAAATTGGCTGGGATTTCAAAAATGTTTTTGAAAATAGGTTGGAATACACAGAAAATTCAAAGATGTCACTAAATGAGCCCTAACTTGTTCAATTTTCAAAGGACGCCTTACTGAAGTACATAATCATAAGCAACAAAATAGAGTAGAGTTTAGAGATCATATGTATCACATATAAAAATAAATGACAAGCAAGATAATAAATGTTCCACGTTTCAACAAATTTGAAGTGTCTTAAATCTTAATATATAAATGTCGATATGAGCTAGGAAATACTATGGCAATTTATTGCAACAATCACGTTACAGCAAGCACCTTCAGTATTGGCAAACCCCCTTGTATTTCACAGACATCCACGTTTGTCAGCCGTTTTTTACCAATAAGAAACAAAGTTCATCAATTAAATAAATTAAAGAGGCTACAAACCAAAATAGTTGCAAAAAAGCTTTCAAGTTGGACACAAACGGAAGAGAGAGAAAATAGTTACAACTATGTTCTTCAATATATAAAACAAAAAGGTATGAAAAATGCAAACCAGTTAATACCCTAATTTAAACGAATTTTAATTTGGAATCAGGGAAAAAAGATGAACCTATTGAAAGAAAGATATTAGAAGTCAGCAAGAAAGTCAAATTTTCTTTCCCCTGCTAGACTGAGCATAACTCATGCATTGAGCATTCAGAAGAGCGTGAAGAAAACCCAAGAGGCCAAAATCCAAATTAAGATGACGGCACTAGACATTTTGGAATCAGTAAACATTTGATCAAAGAAAAGGTTGGAAGTGGTCAAACTCTACATTACTGATGTTGTTGAGTTGGGAATTAGCAAACATCTTCACCAAAGGGTTTATACTATAATTTTTTAGTGTTCAATTTATATTGACAAGTCAGCTTTTAAACATTATGCTCCAGCTTCAAAGAAATGGCTGTCTTATATATTTTCATTTATTTTTAGTATTCTTTTGAGACCCTTGTACAACCAAAAAAATTATTCGTGTAGTTTCACCTCATAATTTGGAAACTTCCTTAAATTATTCCATTTGGGTAAAATTCAGCCAAACTTATAAATTAAGTTTCACCTAAAAGAAAGCAAACAAAATTCAATTTGATTACATTGTTTGAAGCAACTTCGAATAGAATTGACTACAAATTTACCCAAAAATAGGTGTAAAATATGATGCCGCCACCCCTCTAAAAAATGGATAAATAAATAAGTCATTCAAAGCATCGTTGCATGTGACCACCATTTGGATACTGTGTGAACTGTTTTTCAGAGAGTTTGAATCAATCTAATTTCAGACATGTAGAAGATAGACTGAAAAAACCAAACATATTATTCATTTCTAACATACAGTGACATACCAGCCAGTCCTCTCGGCGAGACAAATTTGCAGTGTCAAAGGACAGATCTAGATCAGTCTGCAACTCCTTTGCCACATCAGGAGCATGTTTCAAAAGAAAGAGCAAAGAATTAGAATCCACCACAGAGAGTTCATAACTGGAGTTCTTGAGATGATTCAGACCTGTGACAAAAATATAGTACCCTTTCAGAAAAACCAGAAGCAGCAATTTCTTGTCAATTGAACTTTTTTTCTCTTGGATAAAAGTCAATTGAACATTTTAAAAAGAGGGGAAAACTCTACTCTAAGGGTGGAATTAATATACCGCTAATATTTATAAATTAGCTAACAAACTTTTGTTAATATTATGAATAAAAATGATATCTCTGAAATATATAAACGTCATGAACTTGTTCTCTTAACATCTACAACACTTAAGTAAAGCAACATAGGTCAAGTCTAAAGTAGGAGACTAAAGAACTTAAAAACTGCAAGGGAACCCAACCCAGTAGTGTACGATTCTAAAAAAATTTGACACACACACAAAGACTGCAGTAGTAAGTAAGAGTTGAGAAAAGACATTAATAGTCCAGTTTTACACTGTTGGTCATTACACCTCATCAAAATTCTAAAATAACGTTTTAAAAG